CACCCACTTATCGAGTTTTTTCACCTTCCCAATGCGTTTCAGACCATCTGCAACAGTGGATTTGCCAACGCCTAGCTTTTCTGCAATCTCTCGAACTGTTTGGGATGGGTCAGCCTCCAAATCCTCGTCAGGTATTGCTTTAGGTCGACCGCTACGAGGTTCATCTTCAAGGCTGAAATCTCCAGAACGAAATTTGTTGAACCATTGCCGCACAGTGCTTTCTCTAGCACTATTGGGCCCCCACACCTGGTTAATTTGTTGAGCTGTTTCGATTGCGGATTGCCCCAATTTATAGTCGAAGAAAAAAATCGTCCGAAGTGCTCTTTTCACATGCTTGAAAAAATCTTGAAAAAAAGGGGTTTATCAAGCAATGGTGAAACGGCAATTATACCATCAGATAGCGCAAAGAATTCTCTTCAGGATGTACTACTGAGACGCAAGGGAGAGTGAGTTTTTAATCAGCAATGAATGTTCAAAAAATAGTAACACAAAACGCTGCAGAACTTTCCGGACAACCTAATAGTGGCAGCTGCACATCTTTTCGCTTTCATATAATGATTTTGCCCACTATAAGAGACGACTGTTGTACCACTTAGAAATGCCACGAGAGGAAGGTTTGAGTGAAGTGTGCAGTCACGCCCCCCCCAGCCTTGGGGTATAGTGTGGATACCGCGCGCGCGTCCGCCGTAGCTTCCCGTTCACCACCTTTATTGACCCAATTCCTCCAGTATTCTTATCTTCCTACAGGTTGTACAGTACACATACATAACGTTTTTGTGAGCGCTACGTATAATAGAACAGGGGGGAGGGCACATTAGGACACGCCACCAAGTGCACCTTCCGCCCACGCCTTTCCAAGGTGAGCAGCATGGATAGAGGGACCTAGCAAGTGGCAGGTGACCAGAGCTCGCTTGGTCTCAAGCGCAGAAAAGCCGACATAGTCCCGCCGCCTTATTAACCAAAGACGTTGGGAGATGTAAATGTAAGCCTTCGAAAGTTCCTTCTAGCGACCGTATTTGGCAGAAAGCAATATTAGGGGCAATATAGTATAAGCAATATTAGGGGCAGTTTGGCTTGGGGGGGGCATTTTGGTGGTGCCCATCGATCGTTATCAATATTTCCTGTGAGGACCTGTTAACTCCTGCAAAGCTGTGCAATAGCACGAACCTTGACAGCAGTCTGCAGATTTCACCAAGATGAGACCTGGTAGCTACCAGGAACTAGTGAAAGAAACGGAAGAGCTCTGTAAGCTCCCTCCCACCCCCCTCTAAGCCGAACAGTGTTTACAACTCAAGTTCTCAAATAGCCCCTAATCGAATACGTCGCAGATTTTTGATGTAGATATTTAGACATTCAGAACCACTGCAAACATTTTAATTTTATTATGCAGCCAGGAGAAACCGCTCCATCTCGGTAAAAAGGTTCACCCACGTCCGAGCCGCTCCTTACACGGTTTACAGGGGAAGAATGGCAGCTCCAAAATCCTTCAAAATTATATGTGTACAGACTACTGTTTCGTGGGCAGCTACCCACATTTCAAGGGAGTCTTGCGCCTGAAACTCGTCCTCTGCGCAAGTGCACTCCACCCTAGACAAAAACACCGTAACTTCGTATACAGGCAGCGTTCACGTTCAGTTCGAACAGTTATGGGGCTCAGACAGTGACAATAAGGTAGCAAGTAGTTCATTAGTGAAGTAAAATGCAAAAAAATCATCGGATATGCCCTATATAGGACCCCACGCCGAGCTGAGGTTGTACGTGCTTAAGGCGAAGAGAAGGCGCGGCCGCACGAGTTCTCACTTGTTGATATCAGCTGTTTTCCCTTATCACCTCACTCTCACCATTCGAAGTGGAGAGAGTTAGTAGCAGAACAACCGCACCATCAGGCAACCATTAGAAATGAAGTTGGGCGTAGTGGTCGCCAGGTGGGCGGGGTGGCCGACTCTTCACGAGCGGGCGCCGCTACTCTCTCGCGTTTTTAGTGGCGAACTAGTGGCGCCGCGCACAGCTGCGGCTGCGTGCCATTGCGTACACTGCGGGGCTACAGTAACCTCACGCCTAGTTCCATTACTCCTTGGGGACGTAGCATCTTAATGAATTTTGGTGATTATGATCAAAGAGTGACATCTATGAGTATTTTTTAGTCCTAGACTCTTCCTGTGCAGTAGCCTCATGGGCGTTTTTGAGGAAGGAAGCGGTATCATTAACCGAAAGATACCTCTATCGCGTAATTTACATACGCATAAAGGGATCAAACGCCTTACGAAGTAAAAAAAATCAAAAGAAGCAAGTACAACTTGTAGACTAATTCTTCCAAACATGACAGTTGTCCCTCTACAGAGTTCCCTCTTGAAGAAAAAGTTACATAAAATGTAGTAAAGCATGCGGTGTTGAGTGAGCTTCATGGATATACATTCAGTACTCCCAACCCAAGGATTGCTCCCACGGTTTCTCCACGTTCCATATTGTTTGGGGAGCGTGGCAAGTCTCCGGTTTATCCAGCCGCACGCTTTCGCCTCTCGCCGTGATCATAATAGTCAGGCACTCGTCAAATCGCTGGTCTAGAAGTGAGTTGAGCAAAACGGTAATAAAGAACCACAGTAACTTTACAGGACATGTTTACCGTTCCCAAGAAGAGATATACCGTTTCCGTGTTGATGGTGACCCGTCCTCCTGGCACACTTGCAGGGCTTCCCATTGTTTGCGCCCCTGACTTTCGCAACTCAAATTTTTGCCGAGGATATGTCATTTGTTGTTTTATGAAAAGCTCTCTTATCCCAGTCCGCTCCACAAAAATAAGCAGCTGCAATCAATCATGGACTATGGCGCAATCGCAAGTACAGTACTCATCATTGCGGACCGGTGGGGCGTGGCAGTGCGGCTGCATTTGGTGCGGTTTGGCAAAGTCGTTCTGCACCAGTTTTTGAAGCGAACAAGTGCATTACTGTATAATATCCTTCGTATTACTCGTTTTCTACCACTTTTTGTCGCATACGCGTTGCAACAAAAAGGCTGAGAACGGCTTCAACAGTGTGCGCACTCCTTCTGGCTGACACGCCCCACCGGTCCGCAATGATGAGGACTATACTCTATCACACAACCGCTGTCTTTTCACATATACCAACAGAATAACACCTAGAGCCAGCTATCCTGGCCCTTCGTGCCGCAGCAGCTATGAAAGGGGAACCCGTAACCATTATCCAAAGATAGTCCTATTCACCACATTTCACCACATTCCGCTTTGGTCTACAATCCGTCCACGGCCAGGCGGAAATCCCTGCTCCCCGGCTTCCAATCTTTTTTTGCATCTTTCAGCACAGAATACCTAAGCGCAGAAAAAAATCGAGGAAATGACCCCGAAGCGCCGTTCGAAGCTAAACTAAGCCCTTGTGCAGAATTGCGATCACCGTAACTCTACGTACTATTGCACCAAATGCCGCATACTCGATTTGCTCCCTAAAGTGAATAGTCACTCCTTCTAGCAAAGAAAAAAGTTCATCTATACCTTTCTGCTTATAAACATGTCGCATAACTTCTTCTTCTTGGTTTCTCGAAGTACGAAGCCGTGAATCCCAAGCGAGTCCCACATCACTAATGGTTACGGTTCTGCAGTTGTGGGGTCTGTAACTGCGGACAACACCATATTTGGACGTCATTTGAGCCAATTGGCATTGCATTGAAGAGTTTCTCCGAAAACTTTTTCTTCTTTCACCTGTGCGTAGGACCTTGTGTACTGCTTTTTTTTCATCATCAAGCGTTCAGCTCAGTGACTATGTGACCTTTTTTAATTACCTTCTCATGAGCCGTAAGGGATTTTTTTACAAACTCTCATAAATGTTGATTTGTCCTATTTTTCTTCTCTTGCAGATGTTTTGGTTTTGGCATTTTTGAGGTTTGTCAACAACAGCTGTTTCCGTCGGCGATCTGGCCATAGCTGGTTTTTGTTTTCGCTGGTGATGTGTACTCGATTTATTCGCGTGGTTCTAACCTCCATTAGTTGAACTTAGCTTCGCTCAGCTATGCCTGTTTAGTTTTTTCAGGAAACGTGTGAATTACGTGATGCATGAAACAGATATGTGGAATAGGGCCTCGTTTTTAACCCGACTCGTTGCCTCATCGGTGCGCATTTCTGAAGCGGCTGGTGCCACTATAAAGGTTTGAGATTTTTCTGCTCATTTCATTTCATTTGAGATCTTATTATTTCTTTGTCCCTACGATCTGCTGTCCCGGAAGCTGATGAGGAATCAGCGTAAATCATATGCATCACGGAGGGGGTCGTATTTGGACCTTAAGTGGATCTTTTCGATTGTGGATTCCTCGTTAAACCCGTGTTATACCTGCCCTTTAATATTGGTGGCGTAGCAAACCACCATTCCTTGATTTATCGGGGGAAAATATCCAGCCGTCCTCTATCTTCTATGGTCAAATTTCGGAAAATCGGGTAAGATTGTGGGAAGGCGTGAGATGGGAGTACCAAAAAGACAACGACATTCAGACTTAGACTTGATATGTTGGGATTTTTTGAAGAATAAGCTCTCAAATCCTTCCGTGTTGCACAACATAAGAGTCGCAACAGTTTTCCAGAACGCTGACAATCTTGAGGGTTGGGGCGGGGTGGACCTAGATAACTCTTTCGCTCAAAGACAAACTGTACGCTCACCTCCGTGGATCCTGCTCATTTCCTCGTGTGGAAAGAAGACTCCGTAGCTCCACTACCGTGCCAATTTCTTCGGTCAAAAGTGCACGTGAATGAAGCTGAATGCTAGTGATACCCGGCGACCTGCTTGTCTTCGTACTGCGCCCGCGCCGCCGCACAGGCAACAACAACCTTATCCGTAGCTAGACGTGCTTCTTATCTGCGCCCTCTCACTTCTGGCTGTTCCATATTGCTGAAAGCAAGTTTCGCTCCAGAAGCTTTGTGTCGACACAAGTGCTGCACATTGAGGATGGTGCGGGCGGGGTATGGAAACGGCACTCAAGTATCCCTGCCTCTCCCCCCCCCCCCACCTAATCCGGCACGTGCACTTGTGAGCGAAAAAGTGGGTCGGTAATGGAGCTGCGGACCCATTCACCTCGGAAGTGGAAGTGGCAATGTCGTCCATAGAGATGGGTGTACAGTTTATCTCAAAGGGCAGGGGCCGCCGAGTCACAAAATCTGCTTGAACGAAAGTACTTCTTTTGTAGTAGCGGCATATTTTTTAGCTCAAGAAATCTCTTGAGTACCCGTTCCTCTCTTTTTTGCTCGAAAGATTCGTTAAATCCCCCTCCTCTTCACAAAGTTGTTAGCATAAATTTTTCGGTCTGTTGGAAGCCTGCGGTTCACTTTAACCCATAATTCTATTCCTAGAGCCAATAAACCCATTCCGTACCTTCCATTTATTCAATGTGCTGCTCTTCAGAAGTCTAACTTTAGAATGTGATGACTGGTGGTGATTTGAAAATCGTCGACAAAAGTATCGAAGGGGAACCAGCTGATTTACAAACGGAGGCGGATAGGCGTGCACAATATTTGATCGTGAAGTCACTAACAGAACGCTTTGGAAACATCAACATCATTGGAGAAGAAGTCAGTTTTATCCTTTTTTTTATCCTTTTTTTTCTGTTACATAAGTCATTTTGCAGTCGATCACGTCAACGTTCTGTTTGGACGTGACGTACCTTCTTCCCAAATCATAGATTTTGCGCACTTTTTGTGGCTCGAAAGTGTGCAGCAAGCGCTCTCTGAGCGCACGACCTAGTTCAGTAGCTCAATGCTCCAATCTCTCCGTCATGATAGTGAGGGAGGTCTACAAATAGTTGCAACAAACGAAAAATGATAAGGATGGGGGGGGGGGGCTGTGGCAAGACTATCGTAATATGCTGCGCTACTGGGCATGGCGTGCGGCGCGCGCCCAACTGACGAGTTGTCCTGCCTGGTCTTATGAATGCAAGTGTCCAAAGGATGGAAAGATTCGATATCGGCTGCCACGGAATCTTGCCTTTGCTTGAATCCTTGTGAGTTTCGTTCCAGTCGAAAAGCTGATCCACATCAAGGATGCGCCGCGCGCCGTGACGCGACAGATTACGGTTGTCTTATCTGTCTCCCAACGATCGGCGCCATGTGCATACCATGCGACAGTGGTGAGCTGAGAACTCGAGTATGTAGAATTTGGAACAAGGAGCATATGTATTGATGTGGAGCATCGGGTATTTTTTGAAAAATACGATCTAGGCTGACTCCGCCCAGGCGCAGAATAAGGGTTCAATGGACATGTGTATCATCTTTTTCGTAGACATTCCTGCTCTCTAGATCAGTTTTTATACTTTTCTCTTGATGGGCTCCCTGGTAGTCTCGCTTCCACGTTTCTCCAGTGTCCTGTGTATGAACGCAGTCCCGCTCCAAAGCAGTTCATCACCAACAGGGCTTCCGGGATGCATGGAGTGGCATTGATTATTTGTTTTTTTGATTTTTGAGAATGCTTCAAATGCCATTCATTCCCGCACTTTACGAGCTGTGAGATCTATGAGAGCAGGTACTGGGTGGGAATTGAGCGAAATGGGGTTCGTATGGAGCAGGGATAGTCGAACTCACTGTAGCTGCAGATCTGTATAGTGAGAGATTCTTAAGAAGGGATATTATTTGAGGGAGGGTTCGTCTTTGGCCAGTTGGAAAGGTCCACATAGGGGACGTCCAGCTGTTGGAGAAAAACCGACAAACTACGTCCCCTCCCGAAAACTTGCACTGACATCCTCTCCTCATCCTTCCTTTCCTACTTCCCGTCTTCCTATGTTTTCCCAAGTCCCTAACATTTCCCAGTGCTCCAGGGAACTCTGCATTTTTTCCCAATACCTGTCTTCGAGCTGGTTAAGGGAGGAGGTTCATAATGCACATGAAACGGGACGTGAAAACACTAGAAAAGTCAACAATCGGAGTCATTTGCAAAGGCAGGCAAGACCCCCCTCCCCCTCTCTAAAGCAACCAAATATAGCCCCTTCGCCTGAAATCCCCGACTTACGACGTGTTCGGTCCACATGTTGTGAAACGATGTGAATTTTTTGAAAGTATTTTTTACCGCTTAGTGAAGTTGGCCGTTAACATGGGAGAAAGTTGCATAGAAGCCGCGGGGAGTTGGGAAAATCGCTGTGAGCCAGTCATTTTTCTCATGGGGTAACCGTATGGCGTATGGTTTTTTATCAGCAATTGTTAACTGATATTTTGAAGGAAACTTAAAAATTCAGTGAAGAAATTTGCGAACTCCGAACTCGCAGTGATGAGTAGCAGAACCACTGCTGAGTTTTTTTTATTACTATATTTCATCTTCATTTAGGATGTGACATCTGAATGTAACGGTGTTGAGAAAAGTTTCGCAGTAGACGTTCTTCGAGTGGAAGACGAGCTAGGATCCGAACTGAAATCAGTAAAGCCTGAAGATGTGAGGATTCCAGATTTCTTCCTGCTCTTTTTTTCGGCTTTGTAACTAGCTCATTCAGGTTGTCGTCTGGGTAGATCCACTGGATGGCACGGCAGAAGTAGCGCTTGCCATTAAGAACAACAATTCTAGTTGGTTTTTATCTACGCGTGAAGAAGAAACATGGTTCGAAGTGGGACAGGCGATTCTATCGTGAGCCAGGCGCCGCACCAATCACGTTGCGCGGCAGTTTTAGAGTTGCACTACCGTAACCACGCGAATTGTGGTTTCAGCAAGAGATTTGCTCTTGTTCTCAGCGTGCTCTTTAAAGAGGTAGGGGGATGGATTCACTTCATAATTTGAACAAGCCACGAAACAAAATTCGTACGCAAGGACCGCGGCGTCGCACGCCACGTCCTCTACGTCGGCGACCCACGATAGAGTCGCCACATACCCGCCTTGATACCATTCCGGGCTGTCATTTAGGCGGAGCCAGTAAGCGGCGTCGTTGAGGCTTCCCTCCTCTTCCCGCTTTCTGTAGCGGTGGGGAGCAGGGGCGCCAATGAGACTGGCTCACAACTCCGTCCACCTAGCAGAATCCAATGGTATTTTTGTAGTAACTTAATCTAAGAGTTTCCCTTTTCTAAGTCCTACTCGAACAAGTCACGGTATTAATTGGTATTGCTTGCCGTGGTCGACCAATTGCTGGTGTCATACACCAGCCCTATCACAAAGGTACAGGGCGAACAATATGGGCTATACAAGGATGTGGTGTTCACGGCATTTCACCAGCACCAGGTAGTGCTATGAGGTTTCAGGCGCAGTTTTCGACGGGAAGGGGGGAGCATTTTGCACTCTTGTTACTTCCCCATCGATGTGTCAACCTATCTAGACAGCCTCTTCTCGAGTTGACAGGTTTTACCATGATGGCTTGACGACCTTGCTCCAGCTTCACAAGAGTTCACAGGTTTCGCCAGAGTGAGACTTGTAAACCGGAAGGAAGCAATGGTAGTACAAAATGCCCCCCCCCCCAACGTCTCCGAACTGCACCGAGATTTCATTCATAAGCTGTAATGTAAGGTAAATCTATTTTTTATAGCTCAACCACAGAGAGTGGTTGTGACAACAAGAAGTCATCTCAGTCAGTCTGTAACTGATGCTCTAAATGCTCTCAAGGAAAAAGGATTAGTGGATGTTATTGAGAAATATGGAGGTGCTGGTTATAAAGTGAGTTCTTTTTCGAAGCAAGATTTAACTTTGTGTGGTCACCCAAGAGGATCCTTCCCGCGTACGAGGTGATATGTGCGCAGCCGCAGAAAATTGATACTACCACCATTCAAAAGTGTGTGGCAGAGTGGAAATTTGTGATTTTTGTGTTATACGCCCATACGCAAAGCGCCGCACACCGTCATTCACTGATACGCGCTGCTTGTCTGCGCCCTCTCGCCTAGACAGTGTGTAGGGGCTCGCTTGGGACCTTCCACCCACGCAATATACTCACGTTTTAACAATCTCAATTGAGCCCGCGAACACTTTCTCAGAGAGACGACGCAGTCGAGTAGCGCGTACCAACTGGGCGTATATTATCGAGTGGTAGGTCGCCTCAAACCTCAAGCTTCATTGCCAAACTGCCACATTCAAGCGGTGTTGTACCATTCTAGTGTTTTGGGCATGCCTGCTTAACACACCCAGAGGATTTTCTCTCAGGTGAGTGGTCTGTTTACCCTCAAAACGAACCTGTTGCTTACCATACGTCTGCCCTCTAAGCTTTCCTCTAAGACGTCTTGCTTGTTCCGAAGTGTGGTTTAACACTCTCTTCCTTCTCATAAGCTTACGCCATGTCGACCTTGAAGACAGCATCCGCGATTACCCGACCTGCAGTATCACTTGGTGGCGCGCTTTGCAGTCGCAAGGGTGTCCAAGTTTCCCGACTCTTCAGAGCTTGATAAAGGCGCCACGACTCGGTAAAGAGAAGCTCTCTCCGCCCACTTCAGCTTGATCCGCCTTTACCCTCTCCTTTTAAAACGGCTATATATCGTTGGGGTCTAAATCATTTGTATTCTCTAGCCATACCATCATCTACTGTTCTATGCGCAGTCTCTGCGTCTTCGCTCATATCGCCAAGAGCTATCAGAGGTCTTATTTAGAGTATTTTTCGACAGATTATGTTGGTTTCTGTTCTTATTTAGGGCATTTTCGACAGATTATTTTGGCTTCTGTCTTTCTATTCTCTTGCCACATACTGTGATGATTCTCATCCTCACGATCTGCAATTTGTAAGGCCTCTAAGTAATAAGTAATCAATTTCAGGTATTGAAGGTACTGGAAGGAAGCGCCGCCTACGTGTTCGCCAGCTCTGGCTGTAAGAAGTGGGACACGTGTGCTGTTGAAGCAGTTTTGAATGCTGCAGGTGAGCGAGTCTTAACTTTTGATCCTGCATCTTTACTCTGCGTGTTGCTGGCTTTTGTGGGATCTTTGTAAGAACCATAGTCGTGTTTCACGTATCCTTGGTTCCCCTAAAATTCGCTTGACTGAACAGGAATTTTCTCTGACTTTCGATGGTAGGATAACTATGGAGGTGTCAGAACTGACTCTTGTGAGAGCCGCAGTGCCTTGTACTCACTGAGAAACCGCCAAAAAGGAGCAGTGTTAGAAAATACGAACCAGATTACTTGAAGAAGGACGCCACGAAGTGGTTTAGTGCAGGGAACTGTAAGATCCATATCTCGGGTTTAAAATGGCTTTCAAGGACGTTGATAGGAAATCTGCAGAAGATTCAGATGCGTACCCTTACCAGGAAGGTCGTTCAGGGCGTGGAGCGCTTTTTGAAAACGGTTTCTTGCATGATGTAGGGTCACGTGCATGGAGTACCAAAGTGACGTTCATTTTTCCTACGCGCATCTGGAAATACCAAAAAAGGAGTGAAAAAGAAATCTATGGAAACCGGTGGTTTTTGAGCCTCTGTGAGCTTAAAATGTCTTGAAACTTCGACCATGCTAAGTGGAGGGTCCTTATAAAGGTACTATTGGAGTGGAAGAGGAAAATAGCCGCGAATGGGGTCTTACCTGAGGCACGTCATTGAGAATGAGCGGCTCTGAGCGGCTTGTCGGGCGGTTTCTTCAACGATCGTAGTGGTGTTCAGCCACAACGATCGGATGGCCTAGTGGATAGCGTGGAGGATTCTCAATCGGACGGTGAGGGTAAGGGTTGATGGTTCGACTCCCCTCGGCGTGCGAGTTTTTGCATTTTTTATGTTTCGCTGTTTTCGCTTCTATAAATGTCTGCTTATGAATTTTACTCGGGTTCCTACCATTTATGGGCACATTCTAAATAGTTATACCCCACAAACAGGTGCCATTCAACAATTCCGATTTCCACATACCATTAGGTAAGAGCTTCTCTCAAAGTTGATCTTCATATGTTATTTGGTGCCCTGATCACGACTATGGCACTTAATTTCAGCTGCGGTGCCATTTATCGCCAATTTGGAGCCAAATCTTTCTCCCTCATTTGAGATACTTTCAGAGCTGTTCTGATGGCATTCATTCTCTCATTGCTGACCATTTACATTTACCTTTACATTTACTATTTACAAGCATGCAAAAACCTAATTAACAACTGTGATAAAATTCAACGAAGCAAGTGAAACAGAGACACCTATCGCACCAGCTGCACCTTACAAACGACAAAGAAGAGCAGTCATTGTCTTCTTGGCAAGGAACAACGACATCGCCTTCGTTGAAACCGTAGTCCGTCGGAGTCGAGAATGATCCGGGATGCTCATCAACATATCCTGCGGCAACCCAGGCGTATGCCAGACATGGACGAAACCTGGGTGCACAAAACTGGCGATAGGTCTGACTGATGATCTGCAGAGAAAATATCATTTGGATGTCAGTTATTGCTGCCGGAGAAACCTTACTTTTAGAACGTTTGTCTCTGCTGTATGCGAAAGTCGCTTCCTGTGTAGTGCATTACGTGGTCATGAATGCGGCGGATGTATCGCTTGAACAGACCGAAAAAGTACACATCTAATGGCTGACAGAGGGCAGTTGCTCCCGCAGGGATTGTCATTAACCGTAATTCTTTCCCTTGGGGCAACCTCTGACAGCACATTAGTGTGATCCGTAAAACCGGTCCCAGCTGTTCGACAATGAGTAAAGTGAGATGGCGGGACAAGGGCCAACACGGCAACCATCCTTAACGAAAAATGGGACATGCGACTTCATCATGATGTGCGACTTCCCAGCCATCACTAGCAGGTTGCTTGCCTGCCAATGCCCTTTTTGCGGGAAGACTCCTGCTCTTTCGGGGAGGATAACAAGAAGTTTGTCCCCAAGTCGCCCGTCGGCATACATAACGGGCACCGCAGTAAAGGAGTGTGTAAGTGATGAAGTGGATTGCACCACCTCTCATCACCGGTTTGGTGCCGCAGGGAGCTAGCGTCCTGTAACAAAGAACCTTATGACACATAAGAGGCTACCTGCAGAGCGTACCTTTTCGAAGTCATTTCCTTGTTTATCCCAGTCTGATCTGTGTTGGCAAATGCAGACAAGGGATATCTTTTCATTTCCTCCCTCACACGACGCACAAAAGTGGCTGCCTCTACTTCCACGTCCATCCGATGACGAAGATTCCGTGTTGACACAAAGCGCGTTACTCTCCTTGAGCACAGACCACACTCGCGTACAAAGGTGGCAATCCACGACTTTGACGCCTTGAAACCATCGATGAGATTGTGTTCCGCATTCAGTTTGAGGGCCATCTGTCGAATTACGCGCGTAATGAAACGGAGAGCTAGAATTCCTCTGTCATTTGTGAATCAAATACATCAAACATAAACAGGTCCGCAGCCGTTTGCGCTCAACGTATTCAAGGCCCTACTGCTTCGTTGGCGTCTATAGCACTTGTTCTCTGAGAACGAGGTAGAAACGCTGGAAGACCGTCTCACTCACTCCTCAGACTCTCGACCCATGACTAAAGTGAAAAATGGGTGGATTTCGAATAAGTTTTCTCATTCCGTGTAGCTCCACGGAAGCGCCAATTACTCTTTCTTCTGCAGAACTCGCGCTACGCATTAATTTATATTGATGTGCGAGTTTTATAATGTCCATGATGTAAAAACGAGTTAGCCATTCGAGATGCTAGTAGGCCGAGTATCCTCTGTCCGTTCGCTTCGAATAGTGTGCGATGGCCTGTTGATTGTAATGAATATCAGCTAGAACATTGCTTGTCTGAGGCTTAAAAGTTGTCATAGGTTTCAACTAACGGTGCTTTCGAGGGATGAGTCTTCCGTCGAAGAAAACACCTTTTTGTGAATTGAGCCCATCCATGTTGTAGCGGTCGTCCTTGTCAGCGTCGGGAGTCCAACAGACTTCCTCTGCTTCATCGAGTGACACCTGTGAAATGCAGGACGTAGGATTTCACGATCATTAACTCACAAGATGACTTTCTGTCTTTCCGCATAAATACTGACCTCTAGTGACTCTTCTTCCTCGTCATAATCGATGTCTCCATAGGCTGCGCTCTGAAGAAGCCCTTTGAATGCATCAGCGATGGCGATCTCCTTCACCTCCGTGGCGTGACGAAAATCAGCGCGTGAAAGAAGAAGAGCTGAGACGAGGCAATGCTCTAACCGCAGGTACAAAAGACATATCGAGGCAATATGAAATTGTCATCGTGGCTTATGTAGTGATTTGGTTCCGGTGACAAGGAAAGAATTGATAAACATACGCAGACAGGTATATTCACAGCGAAGGATGTAGTTAATTACGGGTGTCATTCCGTTCATGTTCAGTTAGATTACCGATGCCAGGATATGTTGATCGGAGCATACGCGCCGTGATCATTTCTCCACTGCCGGACGGACTACGTGTTTCAACAGAAGGCGATGTCCGTTGTTCCTTGCCAAGAAGACAATGACTGCTCTTCTTTGTCGTTTGTAAGGTGCAGCTGGTGCGATAGGTGTCTCTGTTTCACTTGCTTCGTTGAATTTCTATCACAGTTGTTAATTAGGTTTTTGCATGCTTGTAAATAGTAAATGTAAAGGTAAATGTAAATGGTCAGCAATGAGAGAATGAATGCCATCAGAACAGCTCTGAAAGTATCTCAAATGAGGGAGAAAGATTTGGCTCCAAATTGGCGATAAATGGCACCGCAGCTGAAATTAAGTGCCATAGTCGTGATCAGGGCACCAAATAACATATAAAGATCAACTTTGAGAGAAGCTCTTACCTAATGGTATGTGGAAATCGGAATTGTTGAAATGGCACCTGTTTTTGGGGGGTATAACTATTTAGAATGTGCCCATAAATGGTGAGAACCCGAGTAAAATTCCATAAGCAGACATTTTATTAAGGACAGCCGAAAAAGCCGTAAACGTAAAAAATCAAAACGTAGCACGCCGAGGGAGTCGAACCATCACCCTTCCGACTTCGACCGTCGCGATGAGAATCCTCCACACGCTATTCACTTAGGCCACTCTCGAATTCGTTGTGGCTAGAACATAGCCGTACGCACATCAGTTTGCAAGAAGCAACGCGCCCACGTGCAAAAGCCGCTCAGTGAGCCGCTTCATTCTCAATGAGCGTGCTCTAGGTAAGACACACGCACAAAGTTCACCGGACTATTTTCCTCTTCACTCCCAATGAGTATCCCTTTATAAGGACCCTCCACTTAGCAACTGGTCGAAGTTTCAAGTCATTTTAAGCTCACAGAGGCTCAAAAACCACCGGTTTCCATAGATTTCTTTTTCACTCCTTTTTTGGTATTTCCAGATGCGCGTAGGAAAAATGAACGTCACTTTGGTACTCCATGCACGTGACCCTACATCATGGCAAAAACAACCGTTTCAAAAAGCGCTCCACGCCCTGAACGACCTTCCTGGTTAGTGCATTCAGCAACTAATGTCCTTGAAACTGAAATATCTTGTGTTTCGAGAACCGTATTTTTTTTTGTTCAGGAGGTCAATTGACGGACATATCTGGTAGAGTTTTATGCTACGATTCTTCAGTTCAGCGCAATAACACAGGAGGAGTTCTGGCATCGGCTCCATGGGTAAACCATCAGGTCTGTTGTGATGAATTCAAACTGGCAAACAATTCAGGGCGTTAGAGAAGCAGTGCTTTGATTCTTTTATTATATTTTTTCATTTTTTTATGACAAAATTGTTGGAATGTGGCCGAGGGGATCAAAGTTGTGGTGTAGCGCTCATACCAGCATTCCTAGCTAGCTGACTTGTCAAAGCATTTTGCCATCAAGTCTATTAATTCGCGGCTGTCTATGTCCTATACTGCTTGTTTCACGGCCTGCCTTAAAAAAATCAAAGATGTCGAAAAAATCGTTTTCTCCTCTGTCAGAATTCCGTTTCTTCTCTCGCCTCCCCCCCCCCTACCACCCAACTACCCCGTTTAGCGTTTAGAATGATTCTTGATCGTTCAGTAGTTCTGATAACTTCAAATAGAAGGAAACAGCTGACCCATCGTTGATTTTTTTAGATTGGGCTGTGAAACAAAAAGCTTCAGACGTAGGCTGCGGTGATACATGATTCAACGCTTATATTATTTGTCGAGTCAACTCGCAAGAAATGCTCGTTCGATCAGTGCCTGATCTCCTTAATCACCCATAATTTCACCACTAGAATGTCCAGTCTGTCAGTTCTTTGGCTTTGATATATGGCAGACGGCCAAGACAATCGTAATTTGCTCTGGTAATAGGCGCAATATTATCTTAATTTGCGGAAACCTGTCGACTGGAGAACCGAACTTCAGTTAGTCTGAGTATCTGTGGCTATTTTTGGTTACACATTGTCTTGTAGATCTACATTGTCGTCGTTTCTAAGCGCGACATCGCACGCAACGCCTACTATCGCGGCGATTTACGATTGCCTTGTCACGTACCCCCTAACATACCTTGGGAGGGGGGAAAGGGATCACTGGACTGCGCGTCTGCTTTCCTGCCCCTCACCAAGACTTAGGCTCAGTGGAGATCGGGACACATCAGTAAGTTGGGAATCGCAGCAAGAACCAAGGGGGGGGGGGTCGTATCTAGTGCCTGGAGAAGGAGAGAATGTTTTTGTTCGTTGATTTGTTTTCTGTTTCTCTCGCTTTTGTTTATATACCCAGACCTGTTTTTAGGGGAAAATGGGAAACAGGGAGTAAGATAAAGGAAGCGGGGAGAATCTGGGAAAGTAGTACATAGGATGAGGAAGGGGAGGAGTCATATCAGAGAAGGGAATTTTAGGGGGGTTGTCTTTTGCAAAATTTCTCCCCAATGGCCGTGCCGTGGTGGAGAGTCCTTTCTGCGAAACTATCTTCGGCGACTCTGCTCGTCTATACTCTAAGCCCAAGCCTTGGTGAGGAAGGAGCATGAGATTTGGCTTACAGTCTTCACGTGCAAAGGAGCCATTTCCAAGCTTTCTTCCTACAGTATTACTTTCGGCGCAGCATTAATCCTCGGGCCATTGCCCTTTTTATTTTCAGGAATACATCGTCTCTATACCGAAATTTCTCAAGGATCAACTACCGGAAATCGCTGCAAAAAGCTAGTATTCATGTCGAATTATTCTTGAAGTAGTATAAGTTTAGGTGATGGCCATGAAGATTAACTTCAATTAAGATCTTAATTTTATAAGTCTCAAAATAATCATTTCTTATAGCGCTCTTTCTTCTAACAAATTCTCCTTGCTTAATCCTATAATGTTCTCTAGCATATAACCACGTTCATAATCGACGGGGATTCTTCTTTTTTTAAGGTACTGTTACTAATTAATTGCACAACAGCTTATTTACCAGTTTTAAGCTGTTATTGTTTCATAACTGCTGTTTAATGCCGCAGTGATAGCTTAATTACCGATCTTCGTTGATAACCGATGATAATCATTGATAGGTTCTCAATGTGGAGCTAGGACTTGTACAGTGTTCGTGCACAGTACTGTGATAAAGTATTCTTGTGATTTTAGTACGAACAATTTAAGTAGCTGCAATAAAATATGTTTCATTCAATCCGTTGGCAGTGGGCCCATTGAACCTGGAACATGCTACCTGGATGGGTGAAAGGGGGGGGGGGGTCAGCATGACACCCATGTCTGCGGATTGCTAACCCTCCCATAGCTCATGCAACGCTATAAATTTGCCAGATTTACGTCATTGAGCGTGGTGAGGGGGGGGGGGGGGAAGAAACATTCCCACTTAACTTGCAAAGTAGTAGTTTTGCCCGCAAACTAGGGAGGGAATTAAGCGAACATAGAAACGGGAAAACACTTTAAGCCTGCCAACAACTGGCAGAGGAACGATAAGTTTGTTCTGGAAGGGGTGAGAACTTACAGGACATGCTGGTTTGGTAGCATTAGGCCAGGAAGGTTTGGCTCAGTCCGGCTAATCATGTCTTACCTTGAACTGGGAGTTTTTTTAAGACGCTGCTCCTCTGGTCAGACAGCGCGAAGATGAAAGAAGAGGAGGTGATCCGACCTGTGATTCTCTGAGTGATCAAAAACGAGAAAAAGTCTTGGGTGAGAAAGTAGGAGCAATGAAGACAAGCTGGACGTTTTCATGCCCCTTGTCACCTACCAAAAACCAGCACTTCAGTAGTGCGGACGAGTTGCCCGACTCAGAAGGCGCGCCGGTACGACCAACAGCGATAGCTTTGCCGTGCTGCTGCGCACAACTAGTCCTATTTTCGAATACATTTCGGTTCCAACGTGTTTGGAGAGAGGGACTACCCTATAGCGCTTCAATGTTCCAGTTCCAGCGCTTCCCCAGTTCAAGCCTCAGGCTCAGAACGCCGGGTCAGAGTCGCCGAGATCGTCGTTTGCTCGTCAAGGGTAATCCGCTCCGACCGACTGCGCTCGGAGTATTGGGTGGGGATGTAGAACTGTTGTTAAACGGACATGCTCTCGCTGCGAGTGTTCAGGAGTATTTTCTCATCGCATCTAATGTTCCAGCAGTTGGAGAGAGAAGGAAGGTAGGAAAAGAAAGATGGAGGAAGGAGAAAAGAGGGGGAGCCTAGCGATTAACAGTTATCCTAAGACGTTTGTGTAGGGAAGAGACGCAGTGACGCCGAAAATTGCTTTCTCCCCTCAAGGGCCGAATTAGGCCTACACTTCTTTGTTAAAGGAGCAGGCAATCAGATGCAAACCCTTCACAAGTGAACGACGCGTCTCTGCGTTGCTTCAGTCCACCAATGATGTAGCTGCATTGGCGCAGTTGTTCGTAAGACTACCTAAGACTACCGTCACCCCGATTCTGCACAGGAACTTTTCGCATATTAGTTCTCTTGCACGCTCCGTTCTTATGCTATTTTAAATATTTTGCCAGCGTTGGGTGAGGTGCAGTACTGTAGAAGAAGCGATTTGTGAGCCACGAGGTACAGAGAGACTCAAGGATGTCAACTTGCTGGCATGGATCCAGCAAAACCGGTAACTCGTACGTTGGAGCTGCCGAGAGAGCCTTTTTACTAGGACGTTCACCGTAGTTTTTTTAATCTTTCCGTTGCAGGAAAGTGAATTAGCGCCCACAGATCCATAATCGAAGCCCACCTTTATGTCATCGCGGAATGTGTCTTTAGGTCCGTTGCGAATACCACCAATACAAAAGATTCAGAGTTCAATGGACTTTATTTCAATCACATTTGTAATATTTTTGTACGTATATATTGAATAACAACAACTTAACAACAACAATATAGACCATCTCAGCAGTTATTATAACGGATTCCCACTCTTCTTCACCATGGCTTTCTTTACCAATGGTACAAATTCAACATCCTCATCCTTAATGCATTCAGCTCGCCGTCGATTAAACTCCTTCCGCGATTCCGCGGCTCTGATTGCTGCATGTTCACGGCCAGCTCTGAAATTGAGCCAAGCTACGGAGAATCCTGGTTAACTTTCATTTGAAAGTGCTGTCCATATCGGACAACAGAAAGAAGCATCGGCCCTCCCTGCCGTTGGAGCAGACTTTCGCAAAATACCACCCCTCTCCAATATTTGCTCCCCTGGTAAGATCCCCTTCGCCATCCTGACTACCATGTTTGCAAGTTCTCCCGGTCTCGATCAC